TTCTTGAAAACTATGTTAAAATGGGTGGTTTCAGAGCTTGAAAGAAATATCAGGGAGTTTGAATTCATTTCTTACCTTGATGTTGCTGAAAAATGCCTGAAGGGAACTAAAGCTCTCACCTTTGCTTAGAGAGTTGATGAAGAAGGTGAATAAAAGATACGAAGTTTGGGAGAGAAGACAAAGATGTAGAAAAGAGAGAGGCAAAAAAATCAAACGTGAGACCACTCTTCATAAATGGTTTTCAACTTTTGAAATCCTCAATGGTGGAGTTGCTCTTTTAGTCCTCCTAATTTTGGTTGCAAACTAAAAACACCTTTTTTAATATCTATTGGGCTTATCTCAAGCCCAAATCCTCTTTAATTTTGGTCAAGGCTTTCTACAATCTAAGGAATGAAAAGTCTCATCTCGGGTTAGCCCAATACTTCTAACCTAGGATTCGGGGCATTACAACTCTCCCCTCATAGAAAGAAAATTCGTCCTCAAAATTTACCTGAGTAGAAAAGGTAAAGGTACTGAAGCTGCATATCCTCATCGGTTTCCCATATCGCTTCCTCAATGCCATGGTTCCTCCATAATACTTTCACCAAATGAATCCTCTTGTTTCTTAACTCTTTAACTTCTCTCGCCAAGATTCTGACTAATTTTTCTGAATAGGTCATATATGAGCTAACCTCAATCTGTTCTAAGGGTATGACATGCAAAGGGTCAGAGAGGTATCTCCTGAGCATAGAAACATAGAACACGTTGTTAATGCACTCAAACTCTGGTGGTAAAATAGTTTGTAGGCCACTGGTCTAACTCTATCGAGTACCTCATAAGGCCCTATAAAGCGAGGGGTCAACTTGCCCTTACGCCCGAAGCAGAGCATTTCCTTCCATGGGGAAACTTTGAGGAACATTTTGTCCCCTACTATGAACTCAATGTTCTTACGCTTCAAGTTTGCGTAAGATCTCTGCCTATCTGAAGCCTTCTTAAGTCGGTTCTAAATCAATCAAACATTCACCTCAGTCTCTCTAATTAAGTATGGGCCTACAATATTACCCTCACTGAGCTCAATCCAAGAAAGCGAAGTTCTACACTTATGGCCATATAGGGCCTCATACGAATCTATCTGAATACTCGATTTGAAACTCTTGTTGTAAGAAAACTCTATTAATGGAAAGTGGTCCTCTCAACTACCCTCTAGATCAATGATAGTACACATGAGCATGTCCTTGAGAATCTTGATAACTCGTTCTAACTGACCATCTGTCTGAGGATGGAAAGTTGTGTTAAAGTGTAGTTGGGTGCCTACGGACTCATTAAGAGCTTCCTACAAGAAAGAAGTGAAACGAGGATCCATGTATGAAATGATGGAAGTCGATACACCGTGTAACATCACTATCTCACATATATACAACTGAGCTAACCTATCTAAAGTATAGTCAATCCTAACTGGGAGAAAGTGAGTTGATTTGGTTAGGCGATTTATTATAACCGAAACTACGTTGCGTCTCTGTCTGGTCATTGGTAAGCCGATCACAAAGTTTATGGTCACCCTGTCTCATTTCCACTGAAGATTTTAAATGCGATAAAGCAAACCTGAAGGAACCTAGTGTTCCGCCTTAACCTGCTGACACTCTAGACATATAGCGACAAACTCCGATACTTCATTTTTCATGCCCGACCAATAGAACTATCTGTAAATCTCCTAGTACATTTTGTTACTGTTTGGGTGTACGGAGAATAGAATGTAGTGTGCTTTGTGGAGAATCTTAATGCACAATTGAGCAGCTACGTGTAATATCCAAAAAACTGGGCTAATGGCCAAAGTGTAAGATTTTAAAATTTTATAGTCAATGTAGATAAATTAAAAAGTTTAGGGATTTATTTGTAATATTTTTGTGAAAGATTATTTAGCAAAGATTAAAAGAGAAGGGGCATTTTGGTCTTTTTATAATTAATTAATTTAAAATTTGGTTAGTGGTGTATTATATACACGTGGAAGGAAATGAAGATTTACAGAAAAATCTAGAATCCTTTTTCATCCTTTCTTTCTTCTTCCACCATGAGTTCCTGCCTAAGGTGAGTATGTATACTGTTGATTTTTCCTTTCATTTTTTTAAGTTGGTTTTGATTCTATGAGTATTAGGAAAGCTTAAGAAAGTTTAAAGAGAAGTAGAAACTAAAAGATTTACAAGTTGTGAGAGATTAAGTAAAAAGGGTTTTTGAGTGAATTGTTGAGAAAGAGTTAGTAAATGAATTTTGAAGTGAAATTTAACTTGTCATAAGTTGAAGTAAGAAATCTAAATTATTAGATATGGATTTGAGATATGATGATTATTTGGTATGATTTTAGGTTCCAAGTGTTCTAGTGAGATTTGGATGTTAAAATGTGTTAAAGTGTTATAAGTTGATTGGGATAAGTGTAGTTGAGTTTAAAGGTTTAAAAGGAGAATAAAGTGAGGAATTTAGTAAAGTTTTGGAAAATTTTCGGGTTGAAAAGAGAGAGTTTTGGGCTAGGGCTATCAATACTGGATGAAAAATACTTATACTTCAAAGCAAAAATAGGTGATATTTGGGTTTGGGTATCGATACCATATGGTGAAATTGTACGAATCAGTAGTATAGTATAAATACTAAAGGAGTAGCATCGATACCAAATGTATCAATAATAGTGTAAAGGTATCAGTACCATTATCAAAGATGAAATCCTAAAATCTAGAAGGGTATCGATACTGAAGTAAAGTATCGATACCACAGTAAGGAAGTATCGGTAATGTATCTAGGGTGTCGATACTAATCAGAATGAAATTGTGAAATAAGTGATTCGTTTAACTTATGTTATTAAGGATTGATTATAATGATTCGAATTTCGATAATTATACCAATCGCATTATTGTGTAGATATCGAACAAAAGCCAATTCCGGACGAATCAAATATATAAGATTGATCAAGAGATAGATAAGAGTTATAGGTATTGGTTTGACTAAGTGAAACCAAGATGAGTGCATATTACTATAATATAAGGTGATATGGGAAATAAGACTTGCGATGAGTCTATTTCCAATGTTTTGGTTTCATGATTTTATGAATACTAGTATGTTGTTAATATGGGTTCTATGTGTACATGAATATAAGCATAGTTTGATCTCTGTTATTATATGAGCATGTATTGTTTATATTCTCTGCTATATGATATTCACATATGTGATTACATGAGAATATGATATAAACTATGTGGAATTGATCTAAGTGATTATATGAACATATGATATAAACTATGTGACAAGGATATATGTGTTACATGTTATCCTACGTGTTACATGATTTATGTGATTACATGAAAATGTAATATAAGTTATATGGCCATGATCTATGTGATACAAGCTATGTAAAATGTGTAAATGGTAAAGCCCATAAGTATGTGATATGAGAGCTAAAGGTATAATTGACATGTCAAAAGTTGAGGGTTCTACGCGGTCATTCGAGACAATTCTACGTGGTCCTTTGGAACATTTCTACGTGGTCATTCGGGATAATACTATGTGGTCCTTCGGGATATTTCTATGTAGAACTTCGGTGTAATTTATACGAGCTGTGGAGACAGTATTTGTGCACAACCTCAATGCACTCACATATCTTAAGTTCTCAATAGTGTACCATGGGCTACTAAAAGAAAAGATATAAATAAACAGTGAATGAAAATGATATTGATGATGATGATATGTAAATGTAGACATATATGCTTTTGTTATATGATATGTTCCATTATTTCTTCATATGATTTTATGAAATGCTTAGAATATGTTTAAGTGTTTTAAGATTTTATTACGCCCTTTATATGCCTCACTAAGTCAATGACTTAGTGTGTGAGTGTTTCACACGTAGGTTCAGAGAAGCAAGAAGAGAAAAACTAAGCAAGTCAGGACATCATCTCCTTTTAGAAGACTAGATTAGAAACAAATTAAATCTTATGTATTTTGTTATACTGAATATGGTTGACATGTAATTAAAGGTTTGAATCGTATATACTCTGATCGATTTTGTAAACAAAACTTATTGTATATATGTAAATTATGAAGTTATAATTTCAAATTGAGTTTAAACTTTCGTTAGTTACTTTTGAATAAGGGTTCCACTATTTTTTAAATACAATAAAAATTTAAATTTTCAACTTTATTTTAAAAGTAAATGATTTGAAAAGTCAATGTGACATCTCGAATTCGTATCCGGGTTGGATACGGGTATGGGGTGTTACACTACGGGTACATACAACCAACCCCCAAAATATATCACATCTCCATCTTGAATCTCAAAACCTGAGGCCTCGTTCTAGCAAACCTGCTCAATCCGACTTCTTAACTAGTCATCTAAACTCTGTAGCCTCTTGAATTCACCTACCAACTCTGGCTCGACTCGTAACTTGGCTAGCAAACCATCATCACTAGATAAACTCAAATGTGCTAAGATAGCTCACAACTCAGTCATTGATTATAATCTATCACACAGTCGTAGTCCTTAACCAACTCAACCTATTTGCGATATTTTAGGTTTAACTATTTCTGAGTGAGAAGATACTTGAGACTCTTGTGATCGGTGAATATATGACACTTCTCCCCAAAAAGATAGTGTTACCAAGTCTTCAAAATGAACACTACTACTGCTAGTTCAAGGTCATGGGTAGGGTAATTGCGCTCATAAGGCTTAAGCTGATGGGACGTATAAGCTACACATTTACCCTCTTGCATCAAGACGCATCCAAGTCTATTTAAAGAAACACAACTAAAAATTGTAAAGTCCTTACCCGAAACTTGTTGGGTCAACACTGGGCTTGGGTCAATATGACCTTTAACTGCTCAAAGCTCTCATGGCGTCTTTCATCCCAAACAAAGGGGACTCCATTCTAAAGTAATTTGGTTAATGGGGCTGCTATCATCGAGAAACCCGAAACAAACCGATGATAGTACCCGACTAACCCAAGGAAATTGCGCACCTCAGACACATTCTTAGGGGGCTCTCACTCAATAATAGCCTGAATTTTCTGAGGGTCGACTCTGATGCCTTCGGATAAAACGACATGACCCAAGAATGCCACCTCTGATAGCCAAAACTCGTACTTCCTGAATTTGGCATAAAATTGTCTGTCTTTGAGGGTCTGGAGAACAATACAGAGATGTTGATTATGCTCGTCTTCCGATTCGGAGTACACTAGGATGTCTTCTATAAACACCACCACAAACTAGTCCAAGAATGGGTGGAAAACACAATTAATTAGGTTTATGAATACCGTCGGGGTGTTGATGAGTCCAAACCCATCACTAATAACTCATAATGATCGTACCTCATTCTAAAAGCTGTCTTCGATACATCCTTGTCCTTGACTTTCAAATGATAATAGCTTGATCGTATATCAATCTTTTAGAAGACACATGCCCCTCTGAGATGGTCGAAGAGGTCGTCTATCCTGAGGAATGGGTAACGATTCTTGATGGTTAAGTTATTTAACTACCCGTAGTCGATGCACAACCTCATCGACCCATCTTTCTTCTTAACGAATAGAACCGACGCTCTCCAAGGAGAGATGCTTGGTCGGATGAAATCCTTATCTAGTAACTCATAAATCTAAGCTTTTAACTCATTTAGTTCAGTTAGTGTCATGCAATAGGGAGCAATGGACACCGGGGATAAACCTGACATTACTTCAATATTGAACTCCAATTCATGCTCGGGTGGCAAACCCGACAACTCTTCTGGAAACACATCGAGGAAATCCTGCACTGATCGGATATCCTCGAGTGTACGTACTGAGATTCAAGTGTCGACTACGTAAGCCAAGAAGGCCTTATACCCATTGTCAAACATCATTTGGGCTTGCACAGCTGATACAATCCTCGTTTGATGCGATCTCTCACTGGTCATCACCAACTTGGTTTCATCGACGGCTTTGAGCTTAAGCCGCCAAGCTTTGCACCTCAAACTGGCATTATGCTCGGTTAACCAATTAATCCCTAAGATTAAGTCAAACTCCTTGAAGGGTAACTCTATCAAGTCTGTTAAAAAGGTTTAATCTCGAATCCTCACTAGGCTTTGTCTGAAAATTTTGTCCACTAGGATGTATAAACCTAGTGGGCTAGAGACTCGAACACCTAACTCTAGGTTCTCTGCATGGATTTCTATTTCTTTAACTAAGTCAGAGAAGATGTAAGAATAAGTGGAATCGAGGTCAATCAATGCAACAATTATTAAAGAAAATACCATAAAGGTACCTTATATAACATTTTCCATATCACAATCCTCCATGGCTCGCACTGCATACTATCGAGAGGCTACTCTCGGCCCGGGCCCAACCTCTGATCTAGTCGTCCCATGACTCTGCTACCCAGATGCAGTGCCACCTCCTCTAGCTAGCATCGGTCTCTCTGCACTAATGGTGTTGATCGCTAAGTGGATTCTGATGTTATGCCCTGAGCTCTTGGGCAGTCTCTGGAAAAATAGTCCATGGAGCCGCAACTATAACAACCTCCATACCCCAGCTGACATGTCTCTGTGTGCCTTTTTCTGCACCTAAAACATAGGGTAAAAGTGAACCCTTTAGTTGGCTCACTAGCAACACCCCCAAAAGCTAAGTTCAATAGACTCCTCCTCGAATCATACTTGCCTCTGTGAATTGAACTCTGCCCAATCTTCTAGGATTGTACTGTCGGGGGTCTCGATGAACCCTGACTATCTCTGCCCTCTTGGTCGGGGCCTGCGATGCCTCACTGAATCAATGGCTCTCATGACCTATCATGTAGCCTTATTGGACTGCCTAGTCTACCTATATAGGGCTCTCTCAACTGCTTTCGCTTGGTGGGATAATTGAGCAAAAACTCTAGGAGGATTTGCTACAAGGTGAGTCAAAATATCACCCCAAAAGCCCTCTCTAAACCAATAACAACGACGTTCTTCAGTCGGGATCAGCTCCGTTGCATACTTATTAAGTCGAAGAAACTCTCTCTCGTACTCCACCACTGAGCGGTCATCGTGAGTCAAGTGTAGAAACTTCTCCATTAGGTCATCAACATGAATCTGTCTGATGTACTTCTCTCTTAACTGTGTGAAAAACTATTCCCATGTAGGACTCTCTGACTCCATCGCCAACTTTACAGTCTCTCACCACTCTATCACGTCACCCTTAAGAAAGGAGGTGACATACTATAAGTTATCCACTAGGGTGAGATTCAACTGTCTGAGGGTACAAAGCTTCTCTCTGAGCCACTGATCCGCTGCGATAGGATCATCATCGTCAGAAACGAAGAACTCAGTGGTCTTATATCATCAGAGTCGCTCTATTGGGGACTCTTGGGGAATGGGCACTGGCTGAACTAGGGAGTGACCTAGCTATTTGCCTAAGTACGGAGGTGAGGTCCCTGAAGAAGGTAGCCTCCTCGATCCCCATATTTGTTAGGTCCTGATGGTCGTAGGTATTCGGGACAAATCCCTCACGGATATTGGGTGGTGGTGAGGCATAACTCTCGTATTTGCCATCCTGGCTATAATCTGGGTCATTTACTGTAGAGTTTATATGAAATTAAAAAAAGGGTTTATTATCATCATTTCAGTCATTTAAATACTCTAAACTCTCTCTAGAGGCATGTACATATAAATACATTGATTGACTCTAACCCACTGGTCCTAGAAACGACTAAAACTGGACGTTTTAATACCACTAAATGTAATACCCTAGTTCAGTTAGATCCGAAGATCCATAGATTACAATGTTAAACGAGACTACCGAAATAGTGACCCAAAAATTTTCTTTTAAAACTACCTGTAAACCTTTGAATTTAGACATCCATAATGTAATATAAAAACATATTAATAAACTAGGTTTACAAATAATATAGAGCTCCCAAAATACATCCACAAAAATAATACAAAATATTAAGTTCCAAAAAGAGTTACGATTGAAAACATAATACGGTTCCATAACAGTACATGCCCTCTAAAGATGACTCAAGACGTACTCTGAAAGGTCTTTGGAAATCTGAATTTGCTACACTGAAATACCTAATGAATATAACTCCCCATGACTTGCTCCCTAAGAACCTAGGCACGGAAACACATTCTGAACGATGATGTTATGAGCTCAATGCCTCACTAAAAACTGTACTATATTATATGCATTCACTAAATGAAATGAAAAGTGGCACATGTTTTAGTATACAACTACTGGACAACTAATCTATGGTTGACATCATGGTACGGTTGAGGGATTCTACATCTAGGAGCTCATGCACCCCTCTAGAATTGTTAAAGCATCACCAGGTACTCCTGGGGTGAGATCCAAAATTCTGCATCGGAACGTACACCCACCAACTTAATCCACCGAGTCTTAAGACATCTGGCACCTAGTCGACTACTGTAGTGTCGTGGAACTGACTTGGGTCCACTGACTCTCGTATTTCTACTAAAAGAAACTCGAGTGTCTTGATTATTTCCAAGCGTCAAACAAGGCTAATTTTATATAAACCTAGCTATTTTTGTTTTTACTGTTATAATATTAATTATTGTTCTCGTTTGAAGTCTTATTTGAGGATATATTGAAGTGTTGGGGTACCTCAAGTTAAATTCCCTTAAAAATTGGCTTTTTTGTCCAAAACAGACTAAAAGTATCGGTACTAGCCCAAGAGTATCGATACTCCTGCAAAAGTTTTGATACTTCATGTAAGTATCGATACTTTAAAGCAATCTATAATGCCCAATTTCGATACTTTATGGGAGTTTCAAAACTATGACCCAAAGTATCGATACTCTTGAAAGAGTATCAATACTCTTGCCTAGAAACTCACAATTTTGCCTATGAAGAAGAACAAGTTTCGATACTATCCCTTTAGTATTAGAACTCAACCCGTATAGAGCATAAAATAGGTGCAAAAACTCATATTCTACTATCCTAAAGACCTTAGTGAGGTCCCCAAACATTATTAATATTTTATGAAGATATAAATGAGCATAGATAGAGCTTTAAACATTTTTTATAACTCTAAAACATGAAATCTGCTATGGAAATGCTTCAAGCTTATGCAACCTACTACATTTCATCTAAATGACTTACATATGGTATAGTTGAGTCAAGGGTGAGTTACCTGAGATGCTAAACTGTTGAAAACATCTAATGCTTAACCAAGAGTGAATTTTCCTTTCATTTTGCTTTAGAGTTCTCTTTAACTTCCCTCACTATAAGAGAATCAAATGCATTAATTACTAACTAATTTTAAGGGTTAATGAGGGTTTAAAAACACTTCATAAGACTAAAAATATATGAAAAATGGGTTAAAACCATCTAGTTTCTTAAACCCTTATAAAATATGTTCTTGAAAACTATGGTGAAATGGGTGGTTTAAGAGCTTGAAAGAAAGATTGGGGAGTGCTGAATTCGTTTTTTACCTTGATGTTTATGGAAAATGGCCTGAAGGAAACTAAAGCTCTCACCATTACTTAGAGAGTTGAGGAAGAAAATGAAGAATAGATAGGGAGTTTGGGAGAGAAGACAAAGATGAAAAAAAGAGGGAGGCAAAGAAATTAGACGTGAGATCACTATTCATAAATGGTTTTCAACTTTTAAAATCCTCAATGGTGCAATTAATCTTTTGGTCCTCCTGATTTTGGTTGCAAACTAAAAACACCATTTTAATCTCAATTGGGCTTACCTCAGGCCCAAATCCTCTTTAATTTGGGTTAAGGCTTCCTACAATATAAGAAATTAAACCAAGGCCCACCTCGGGTTAGACCAATACTTCTAATCCGAGATTAGGGTGTTACATACACTACCTTGATGTTTAAATCCCGAAATAAAGCTTCTTTCTTAGCCACACACCTTCCCTTTGTGATTTGGACGAAAACTTTCATTTTTCTCTTGCAAACAAGGACCCCAACCTTTGATTCATTAAAATGATGTTGCTTGAGTGATTTAGAAGGAAAATGAAGTATGAAAAGGGCTCAAGAACTCACATTTGAGCTTTGGTGCTAGGGAGAATGAAAGTAAGAAACGAGAAATGAAGAAAAATGAAGGAAAAATATAAAATGAGATATATAAAAGCTTTCATCCTAAAAATGGGATAATTACTCTTTCGGTTGCTCCTTATCTTCTCACTATTCAAAAATCCCCTTTTTATTTAAAAATGGGCCCAATCCATACTAATCAAGCCCACACTTGACCCAATGACTTAAAATACGATTTTCACGAGGTCCACTTACCTTTTGGGTAAATCCAAAACTATTAGTCTGGAATTCGGGGTGTTACAATGAAAGTGAAAATTTATAAAATATTAAGAATTATTTTTGACAATATGCCTTGGAGCTCAACATTTACCATATTAAAATGAACATTTTTTTTGAACAAAAAAGAAGGTAAACTACACCAGATCCCACCAAACTTTAAGTATTAGCTCGTTTATACCACTAAACTTTCAACTTTACCAAATTTATCAAAATGAGTTAAACATTAACTTGTTGACTATGATATGATAAAATATGATCCCAAAATCTCAAACGACTATCATATTATAGTCATCATGTTAACATCCAACTAAAAAATATAATCAATTTTTTAACAGAAAAAGAGGAGTTTGGAACATATTGAATTGTCAGGGTGATCCTTTTGTAACTTTTAATAGTTAAGGGACTCAACAAAGAAACACTTTATTGTCAAAGGACCATTTTATAAATAGTTGAGGGACTTAATAAATCAGTACTATAGTCAAAGGACCATTTGTGTACTTTCCCCTAAAAATAAATAGTTTTGAAAATATTAAAACATTAAAAAGTCATTTGATAAAAAAATAAGGATTAAAGTAAAAATATAAAATATTAAGAATTATTTGACAATATGCCTTGGAGCTCAAGATTTACTGTATCAAAATGAACATTTAGCTCGAAACAAAAAGAATAAAAACTACATTAGATATCACCAAATTTTAAGTACCAGCTCGTTTATACCACTAAACTTTCAATTTTACTAATTTTATCGAAATAAGCTTAACGTTAGCTTGTTGATTGTGATATGATAAAATCTAATCCCAAAATCTCAAACGACTGTCATATCATAGTCATCATGTTAACATCGAACTCAATACGACATTCAATTTTTTAACAGTAAAGAACGAGTTTGAAACATAATGAATAGTAAGGTGATTTATAACATTTAATAGTTGATGGACTCAACAAAGCAACACTCTATAGTCAAATAATCATTTTATAACTTTTAATAGTTTAGGGACTTAATAAAGCAATATTATAATCAGGAGACCATTTGTGTATTTACTCTAAAAGTATATAGTTTTGAAAAGATTAAAACATTAAAAAGTTGTTTGATAAAAAATAAAGATTAAAATGAAAATTATTAAGAATTATTTTTGACAATATGACTCAACATTTACCATATCAAAATGAGCATTTAGCTAAAAAAATAGATAAATTACACTTGATACCACTAAACTTTAAGTATTGACTCATTTATACCAATAAACTTTCAATTTTTTAATTTTAATACTAGCGTTTACTTTTAAGTGCAATTATGTCACTACACTATTAATGATTTAATGGGTTTATGACATGACAATTGTGCGCTGTGATATTGTTGACGTGACTACCTCATCAGACCAACATCGTTTTGGCATGATTATGATTGGTCTTAAAAATCCCAAAGTAACGTAGTTTTATTTGAGAAAATTTGGTAAAATTCCCTAAAACACCACCCTAAATTCTAGAAAATCCAAAAAATAATAATTCTTGAAAATCTAAAAAACTCTAAACTCTAAATTACAATCTCTAAATACACCTATCATCATCGTCGATAGCACGTCGTTGTCGTCACATTGAAGCCTCCTCCTCTCGCTGTGCAAATCATTCGACATTTTCTCGTCGATCGATTGTTGTTTACGGTTCGATTAGAATATTTCACATTTGATGTTTAACGATCGATTAGCACACTATTCACCGCTCTCCAACTATAATAAAGTGGGTTAATTTGTGGTAAGGGTCCAACGACCAAAGTGGTAGGTGGTGAC